TGCCGCAGCTCGGCGTGGCCCTCCCCCTCACCCCGACGTCTTCCACGGCTGGCTCCGACAATATTTGTTCCTTTTCTTTGGAGGACTGGCCAAAAATCCTGACCAGTTTACCTGTGGCTCTTCATCTGCTATTATTGTGGAAGCTCTTCTTTTTTAATTTTGTTTAGACCATGATGTGGTTGAAATGCCTGCGGTTTTTCAGAGTAGGAAGGCGTATGATGGCGCCAATTGAGAAGGGCTGTCATGCTAAAGGGTTGATAGCAGAGTATGGGGTGCCCAGGCTGAACAGTCCCATCTTCCCCAGCTTGCTGCGGCCTTTGTGTCTCCCACAGCAGCATTTGGAGGGCCGGCGGTGCTGGTCTCCCGGCTTGTGCTGAGCGGAGTCTCATTCCTACCAGCTCAGGCTGGGGGCTGGCCGGGCTCCGCCTCTGGGTCCTCAGGTTGGGGAGGTGGTGACACAGAGGGTGGCGGCATCTCCAGTGGGACTGGAGGTGTTGGTGCCCCAGGGGCAGGCACATATTGTCCTCTGTGTCTCCCTGGAAAATAGGCTTTTCTCTATCTGTCCTTTTTTTTTTTTTTTTTTTTGGCCTGGACCGGCTGAGCTGCTAATATCTTGCATTGTCCAGGTCCATTTGAGCAGAACCAAATCCATGGGGGTAGATTCTGGGCGATATTTAGCCAGGAGTCAATGTAAGGGAATTGATCTGGGTGGCCTGGGGTTCTGGTAATTGTTCAATAGCTTACTTGCATTGTTGCTAGGTCCAAAGTTTCTCGTGAGGGCCACCCAACTCCAAAGGTCTGCCATTCAAGTTCACACAAAGTATAGAGCCTGCCAGGGGTCATTTAAAGTCCATAGTTTCCTGAGAACTCCTTTTTGAAATTTTTAATCATGCAGCCCAGAACTGTCAGCTTTGATTTAGAGGATCCCATTATTATTAATTGACAGATTTTATGGCCTATTGGTGTGGGTCTGCTCCTGGCACCAAGGACTGTGACCCCAGTATTTCTGTTTTTTTTTTCTTTTTTCCTACTCCTCAAAATAGTGGATTTTTTTCCTAAACTCTGCTGCCTCGCTGGGCCTACTATCTATCTGCTTGGCTGCAAGTGCTGCCGGTGAGTTAGGGCTTCACGACAGGCACTTGTCCCTGAGGCTCTCCTGGGCCTGGATGAGCTCTAGGGGGTCCCTGCACAAAGCCTTCTCTATAGCCTAAATTGACAAAATATGAGGCTGGGATAGCCAGCTGGTGGCAGAATAAATGGATCAAAAGGGTACTTCAAAAGAGGGTTCCAGCCAGTCCTGGGGTAGCTCCCTCTGGCTCAGGTCTTGCCAGCTTTATTTTAGACTGAGGGGTGGTATTGAGGCTGGGTTATTAATCACAAGTGGATATTCCGGGGGACTGGTGACAAGGTCGCATTTGAAACTTTTTAAAGTAGTCTCATTTTAGTCCCCAAGAGCACAGGCATCATTTACTTCTACCCTGCTTTATGTCCCTTTCCTCCCAGTGTAGCCACCCTGTGCCGGTGTCGCAGACAAGACAAGGGACGGTTTTTGCTGCGTCCGCCTGGCTGTTCCCCTCACAGGGACGAAGGTGCCTCTTAGCTTTGGCGGGTCAGTATAAGCCTCTGACTCCAATCGGGACCCTGAGGGACCGATACCACCCTGAGCCGTATGAGGTCACCACGGAACCGCAGGTTGGGACTCACTCGAACTCCATAGCAGAAGGCCGTGGAGCTACAAACTCGAGCCTGATCGCATGCTTCACAGGCCGCTCATTCACACACACACACACACACACACACACACACACACACACACAGGTTAACAACATTCCTCCTGATTCCTCCCGGGGGTTCCTACCTTGTCCGGATGGCCTCTTGGTGAGTCTGTCCGTCCCTGCATTGAGTCTAGCTCTGGTTGTAGCCCAGCCACCCAGGGGGGCCCAAGTCGCGGTCATGAAGGAGAACCCGGAATACCGTCGGGTGGCGCCACCTCGTTCGCTGCGGGAGTCCCGTCCCCCGGTCGGCCGGAGCCACCAGTCCAGTGGCTCAAGGAGCTGGCGTGGTTGAATCTCGCTGGGGCCTCCAGAAATGTTGTGGAAATGACAGGCCAGCCAAGAAACAAGCACCACTCGGAGGGTTGGAGCACTCAGATGTATTACACCAGCGGGCTCAGAGGGGCTTCTGCTCCGAAGCTCTGAGCACCTCCAAGACATGCGCATGAGGTTTTATAGGGTTAATTACAAACTTGGGGTGTTCGGCCAATAGGCATGAAACAGCTTTAGCAGCATCATTATCACAAAAGTAGAAGCAGGGAGGCAGCAAACCAACACTTCAAGGCCAGATATGTCTCTGAAAATCCAGCTGGCTAGAAAAAAGAAAAAAAAAACAAAACACCTGGGAATCAGCAAGCTGACACTTATGAACTTAGATTTATGAGTTAGCCCGGCAGAACTCAGATCAGTAATCCGACACTTGTTACACTTAGATTTGTGAGTTAGCTTGTTAGCCCAGCCCGGCTTTTCCTTCACAGTAAGTTACAGATTTTATTCTGGACAGATGTACCCAACTAGCAACTCCTCATAGCTTAAAGGCAGTTGAGGTGCTTAGTAATACCTGATATGGTCCCTTCTATTTTGGCTGCAGCTGGTCTTCAGGGGACCTCCTCCTTCCAAGTTTTTAGTAAAACAAAGTTCCCTAACTGGACAGGGACTTCAACATTTTCCTCTGTGGGAAAGGGCAACGTTGTTTCCATATTTTTAATGGTCTCTTTGAACGTGGCTTAAGCTAACAAGATAGGAAGCTATTTTACGGGTCTCCACATCAAACAAGGAATCTGAAGTTCAAAAGAGCCTCCCATAAATCATTTCAAATGGGCTAAGTTTTAAAATTCCCTTAGAGGCCGTTCTTATTCTTAGAAGAGCTATAGGCAGGAGGGGCACCGAGGTTTCTAGAGTCTCTGGGCATAGCTTAGCAAGTGTCCTTTTCAGAATGTGACTTGCTTTTTCTACCTTGCCTGAAGACTGGGGCCTCCAGGAAGAGTGGAGGCAAAAGTTAATACCTAGAGCTGAAGAAACCTGTTGAGTCACCTTGGCAATGAAGGAGAGTCCATTATAATTCGGTAAGCTTTTTGTTAGCCCAAATCTTGGGATTATTTCTTTGAGCAGAAATTTTGACACTTCTATTGCTTTTTCCGTTCTGGTGGGGAAAGCTTCTACCCATCCTGCAAAGGTGTCTGTGAATCCCAACAGGTATTTCTGTCGCTTACAAGAGGGCAGCCCATTTGCCAGTCTTCCCCTGGGTAAGTTCCCCGATGCTGTGTGGGCCAGAGTAGGGGTGAGGGTATAGGGTGACTCCCTGGGTCATTGCGGGCACAGAGTTCACAGGCCCTAGTGACTTTCTTAACCGTTTGGGACAGTCCCTTACCTGGGAACACTTGAGAAATTAGTCTGTGCATGGAGTCCTACCCTAGGTGGGTGGACTCATGGAGATGCTTAATTATTTTCCATTGTTTGTCCCCAGGAATGAGCAGCTTATTATCTTTCATCAGCCTCCCTGAGAAATTCTTCTCTAGCCCTCTGAGTTTAGCCCATTCGACCTCTTCAGGTGTATAGGACGGTGCCGTTGGGAGAGGCTGGTCCTCAGGTGGGAGAACTGCAGCTTGTGTGACCGGCTGTTCTCTGGCTGCAGCTTTGGCAGCCTTGACTGCAAGGGCGTTTCCCTTTGTAAGGGAAGATTCACCCTTTTGGTGACCCCTGCAGTGTGTGACTGCAACCTCTTTGGGAAGTGGACTGCTTCTAGGAGTTTTAGAATTTCTGCCTGGTGTTACATAGGGGACCCCCTGGCTGTTAGCAGTCCCCTTTCTTTCCATATGGCAGCATGGGCATGTGACATAAGGAATCCATATTTAGAGTCAGTATAGGTATTGATTCTTTTTTTCTTTTTTTGAGGGGGTGTAGTAACTAGGCTTACTTATTTATGTATGCTAGAAGGCGGTTGATTCTTAGACCTTTTCCTAACTGGAGTGCTGTTAGTTCAGCCTTTTATGCAGAAGTCTGGGAGGGCAGAGCTCCAGACTCAACGACTGTTTATAGGTTTACTATAGCGTAACCAGCTCGCCTTGTTCCGTTATGTATAAAGCTGCTTCCATCTGTAAACCATTCTGCTTCGGGACTGGACAGGGGCTCAACCCTGAGATCTGGCCAGCTGGAATAAACTTGTTCAATAGTCTCCACACAGCAGTGAATAAGGGATTCCTGGGATGGGGACCCAGCACTAGAATGGCTGGACCAAAAACCTGACAAACTTTAAGAGTTCTGTCTGGGGAATCAAGTAGGAGGGCTTGGTATTTAAGTAGTCGCCCACCTGTGTCAGCCAGGGGTGTCCTTCAGTCTCTAAGACTCCTTGTACCTGGTGGGCTGTTAGAACTTCCAGTGGCTGCCCCAAGCTTATTGGCCTCATCTACTCACAGAGCAGTGGCAGCTACTGCCCTAAGACAACCTGGCCACCCTGTCGCCACCTGATGAAGTTGTTTTGAGAAATAAGCTATTAGTCTAGGCAGGCCCCCGAGCTTCTGGGTGAGGACGCCCAAACTCTCCCTTGCCTCTCAGCTACATAGAGTGTAAAAGGATTTTCTAAGTTTGGAAGACCCAGTGCAGGCGCAGTTCCTAGTTTCTGTTTTAAAGGTAGAAATACCTGTTGACAATTTTTGTCCCAATTTAGGGGTCCGTGGTCACCCCTTTTTAGGGCCTCATAAAGAGGCTTTGCAATAAGCCCAAATCCAGGAATCCAGGTCCTGCCAGACCCCGCCACACCCAGAAAGGCCCTCAGTTGCTTCTTAGTCTGGGGGGTTGAAGGGTCCTAATAGCTTCCTCTCCGTCTTGGGCTAGAGCTCTGGTCCCAGGGCAGAGCGTATATCCCAGGTACTTAACCTGCTGCATGGAAACCTGGGCTGTGTGGGGAAAGACTCAATAGCCTCCTTCTCCTAGGAAGCTGAGAACCTGAGTAGTGTTTTTATTTGAATCCTCTCTAGTGGGGCTACAAATTAGGAGATCATTCACATACTGTAAGAGAGAGCCATTGGTCAATCCTAATTCTCTCAACTCTTTTTCTGATGCACTTCCAAACAAGTGAGAGCTGTCCCTGAAGCCTTGGGGCAGCACAGTCCAGATTAGTTGGGAAACACTATGAGTGTCTGGATCTGTCCCCTCAAAGGCAAAGACGTATTGGGAGTCTAGATGCAGAGGAATGCAAAAGAAAGCATCCTTTAGATCTAGCACTGTGAACCAAGTTGCATTTTCTGGGACCTGGGTCAATAAAGTATGGATTAGGGACTATTGGGTGAATTGGTACCACTGCCTCATTAACTGCCCTGAGGTCTTGAACAAACCGGTATTCTCCATTTTGCTTTTTGATGGGCAGGATAGGAGTATTACATGGAGATTGGCAGGGTGGTAACAGCCCATATTTTAAGAACTTGGTTATCAAAGGCTGGATACCTCATTGGGTCTTGGGCCTCAAGGGATACTATCTTCTCCATGGTAATTAGTATTTGGCTTTAACGAGATCTGAACTGGGGGCACGTTAGTAGCCTTACCAGGGACCTCTGTGTCCCAGACAGCAGGGTTTACTTGAGAAACAATATGAGGTGGAAGGGAGATCTCCCCTGATTTAGTATTGAGGTGGGTTCCCAAGGCCCAGAGCAGTCCTTTCTCTTGGTGAGTGCCTTCTTCATGAGGGTGTCCAAATTGTATTACTGTCTGGAATTTAGTGAGTAAATCCCTTCCCAACAAGGGGATGGGGCACTTAGGCATGAGCAGAAACTGATGTGCAAAGGTAAAATTTTCTAGCAGGCAGCTAAGGGGGTGGTGGTGTGAATCGCTTGGTTTGGGGCTTCCCATTGATCCCCATTATTACACAGGACTGGGGGACAAAGGTCCAGGGAAATCAGTCAGCACAGAGTAGGCGACTCCCATATCTAATAAGAAAACAACTTTTCTACCTGCATGTCAAGGGTTACCCGAGGCTCCTCCAGAGAAGTGACCAGGTGTCCTGTGAGAGACTTTGAGGGCCTCGGGCCCCATCAGTCTTCAGTCATCTCGGCCATCATTGGTTTGGGAGCCCCAAGCCCCCTTGAGGACTGGGGGCAGTCCCATTTCCAGTGGCCTTTTTGTTTGCATATCGGGCTGGGTCCCTGTGGACCTTTTTCAAACATAGGGCATTCATTCTTCCAGTGGCCCTCCTGGCCACACTTAAAACAGGTCCCTTTTTGGCAAGACAGTGGCTCAGATCCAGGCATCCTGGATCCTGTCCTCGCCATGGGTCTTCTTGAAGGAGGGTAACCCTGAGGTGGCGCACGGCTTAGGGCAGCTGCTAGGAATTGTGCCTTTTGCTGTTGTCCCTGGATCCTTCTTGCCTCCCCAACCCTGTCTCTATTGTTAAATACTCCAAAAGCCAGCTCCACGAGCTAATCCCTGAGGGTCTGTGGTCCCAGAGCTGCCTTCTGTAATTGTCTCCTGATGTCTGGGGCCGACTAAGTGATAAAATGGGACTTCCCCCTATGGGGTTTGGGGGTTAATATTAGTATACTTTTTAAGGGCCTCCACTAAGCGGCCCTGGAAGACGGCTGGATTCTCATCTTTTCCCTGTGTTACTTCCCTGACTTTGTCATAATTTACATGCTTAACAACACATTTTTTCATCCCCTCTATGAGGCAAGTTACCATATGGTTTCTGCGTTCAAGCCTCTACCTCCCTGGTGGTGGTTCCACTGGGGGTCTTGGTCAGGGATTGCATCCCCCCAGTAAGGGAGATTATACATCCCTGGTCGCAGGCAGCCAGTTCATTGGCATACACCCAAGCTGCACCAAGGATCCGGCTTTTTTCCTCGAAAGTGCAGCAGGTTGAAGGAGGACCTGTAGGTCCCCCCAGGTAAGCGCAGAGGCCATTGTCAGCCTGGCAAATTCCTCCATGAACCTACTGGGGTCCTCGGAGAAACATCCAAATTTCTCTTTGCAAGTAGCCAAATCAGTCATAGAAAAGGGGAAGTGAACTTTGATTGTTCCTCCATCACCAGCTGGCACTTCCTTCAAGGGGCAGAGTTTGGTAGTAGGAGGTTGGCAGATGGCCCCACTTGGAGTAGCACTGGCAGGACTTTCCTCTGGTGAGGGAGATGCTGGGGAAGACTGTTCCCCCTCAGAGTTGGGGGAAGTAGGAACTTCTGGCTGTGGACCTTGAGGAAATGGATTCATAAGGGGGTCATCTAGAACACTGAGCTCCGTGGTGTTATGGAAATGACAGGCCAGCCAAGAAACAAGCACCACTCGGAGGGTTGGAGCACTCAGATGTATTACACTGGCGGGCTCAGAGGGGCTTCTGCTCTGAAGCTCTGAGCACCTCCAAGACGTGCACATGAGGTTTTATAGGGTAAAGTACAAGCTTGGGGTATTTGGCCAATAGGCATGAAACAGCTTTAGCAGCATTATTATCACAAAAGTGGAGGCAGGGAGGCAGCAAACCAACATTCCAAAGCCAGATATGTATCTTTGAAAATCCAGCTGGCTAGCAAAAAACATGAACAGCAAACCAACACTAATTAACCTAGATTTACAAGTTAGTCCAGCAGAACTCAGATCAGTATTCCAATACTTAGATTTGTGAGTTATCCTGCCAGCCCAGCCCAGCATCTCCTTCACATTCCTAGACTTGTGAGTTATCTTGTTAGACCAGCCCAGCTTTTCCTTCACAGTGGGAGATGCTTTGAGGGGACACGGGCCAGGAATATCCAGCAGGAGTTCCTTAGACCAGGGTTTTTGGTATAGGATCAGGAACATTTGGATGTATGGGATTTCCCCCTGTTTACCTCCTCTGGGACATGCCCCACCAGGTGTGGGTCCTTGGCTTTGCCCAGGAAAGAATTCAAGTGTGAGCCACAATTGAGTAAAGGTAGATATATTTAGAGAGATACATACTGCATAGAGCATAAGGCAAGAGAAAGACAAGGAAAGAGGTGTGGGAACTGGGTGCTCAGGTTAAAGTAAAAGTAGGTGCACACTCCATAGACAGAGTGCGGACTGTCTCCAAACTGGGAGAGGGAAAGAGATGGCAGCCACGAGGCACCGTGTTGCCAGTTTTTATGGGCTCAGTGACTTCATATGCTAATAAGTGGAAGGACTAGTCTAACTACCCTGGGAAAAGGGCTGGGATTCCTAGAAAGTAGGCCATTTCCCACTCTGTGACCTTTTATGGCTAGCCTTGGGACTGTCATGGTGACTGTGGGCATATAATGAAGCTCAGGGTCTACCAGAAGTCATATCTCCCACCATCTTGAGCCTCAAGGCCTGCTGGGGATTGAATCTTCCACCATTTTGATGTTAATTGCTGTATTATTCCTTGAATGGCTGTGCACTGCCCCCTTCCTGTCTCAGTTCTTGCCCTGGACTCAGGAATTTCACAGCCTCGTTGGGAAAGGTGACATGGCAGCAATATAGGACCTCCTGTGGTTAACTGTTTAGTGATGTTGTACAGACTCTAGGAAATAAAGATGGGGGAATCTAAAGGTTAGAGCTGTGCAAGCGCCCAGACCCAGGGGGATGGAGCTGCTTAGGAACAGCGACCTAGCAAAGGGACTGCCTGAAATCCTGCATTCAGAAGGCTGAGTTTCTCTACTTGCCTAGGTTTTTGGCTGGCCTAGTGATTAAAGTGATAGAAGACATTAACCGGTGGGAAAAACAAACATTTAATAGCATGTATACCTCCTGTTTGCATGGGAGACACCCAGAAAAACTGAGTAACTACCTGTCCCACCAAATTGCAAAATGGCAGAAGCCTTTCAATTTAAATACCATTTTCAGTTAAAAACAAAAGATGTTGGGGATAGAGAGCCAGGGAGGTTGCCTGGAAAACTGCAGTAAACTGTTAGGGAAATGACAGGCCAGCCAAGAAATAAGCACCACTTGGAGTGTTGGGGTACTCAGATTTATTACGCTGGCGGGCTCAGAGGGGCTTTTGCTCCAAAGCTCTGAGCACCTCCAAGACGTGTGCATGGGGTTTTAGAGGGTTAATTACAAGCTTGGGGCTATTAGCCAATAAGGCTTGAACAGCAAAACCAAGGAATCAGTACACTGGAACTTATCTATTAGGAACAGGTCATGTTACTGACACATGTTGAGCTTGGATTTACGAGTTAGCTTGTTAGCCCAGTAAACTGACACTAAACTTCAGATTTATGAGTTAGCCCAGCAGAACTTAGATCAGTAAACCATCACTTACTACACTTAGATTTATGAGTTATCTTGTTAGCCCAACCTGGCTTTTTTTCCTTCTCAAACAAGGTTAGGTTTTTGTGAAGTAACTCCTTGTCTTATGCGTTGATAAGCGTTTCTAGGGTAGAGGGTATAGCTCAGTGGTAGAGTGCATGCTTAGCATGCACGAAGTCCTAGATTCAATTCCCAGTACTTCCACTGGAAAAAAAAAAGAATTTCTAGAGATAAGGCCTCTTCCTGGTACAAATGGAGATTTCCCCTATATATGTGAATACCTCTTACAAAAGGGTAATGTCTACTCAGTTTTCAGGGCTTCTCACTGCCTGCAGTTTCTTAAAAATCATCAGCCTAAAATAACCCTTATGCCAAAGATTTATTTTGTGGTGGTAAGTTCTGCTCCTTTACAGTCCCGCCTTTGAAAATTCCCCAAGATGTTTCACAATCCGGATAGATTGCTCCATATCTCATTGAACCAGTTTCCCAATGGTGAGGCTTGGCGAGGTCCATTAACACCGCTGTCTCATTTCAGGAGGCAGGTGACGCAGCTGGGCTTCCAAAGTTAGACCATATTATGCAGGAAATCAGGTATTTAATAAGAGGAATTTCTATAGAAGCAAAACAAAAACAAAGGTGGTTGAAGCAAATTAT